ATACCCAAACAAAAAGTGAGAACTCTGTTATTCTCCGACAATACTAACTAAATTTGTTAGTCTCTAAGGTGCCACAAGTACTCCTGTTCTTTTTGTGGCTCTCATCTGTGATTAAATCTCAATCAGACACCAGGAGACTGTGGAGACATCTACATCTTAGTCAAATGAAAGGGAGATTAAAGAGTTGAGGGTAATAAGCATATTGCTGATACTCTAGCTCATGTCACCTCACTATCACAGCAAATAGCAAAGACTGACAAAAAATGAAAGGCAGGATGGAGTTGCCCGACTCCACAGCTGAGGCCCTTCAGTTAGGAGGAGCAACTGTACAACACCAGCCTCCCTCTCTTTATAGGGAATAAACAGAATCATTTAAAGGCAATTCCATTCATGTGTTCCAGACTCCTGATTTGCATCAACAATATTTGGTGAGCAATAGCATGGATGGGATCAAGACATCTGAGGTAGTCAGACGTTGTTGAAGTTGGCCTGATACAGTCCTTTCAGACCTTCCCCAAGAAGGAGAAAGAGAGCAGACAGTAGTTGGCAAGGACACTAACATCTGTAGAATTGGTTTCTTAAGCAAAGATTGGATCACAGCTTGTTTGTTTAGCATTGCCAAGATCTTGGCTCTCCCTTAGATAAACAGTAATGCTTCACAGCAGCAGGTTGGCAGGTCTGCAGGTAACTGGGCTCCTATGCAAATACAGGGAAGTGGGAGGTGTTTTGTTACCCAGACATCTCAAGTGTGGGTAATCAGAATAAGAGTAATTTTATCCTTCCCCAGAATAAAAGCTCTTCAATTTCTTAACAAAACTTTCTCCTAGATGTAAATAGATAATACGTAGTTGGAAGAAACAGGAATTCTCCCAAATCTGATTTTGAATCATTTGCACAGTATATTAGCCATACTGAGAGTTTAATTCACCTACTTGACATAATATAATTTAAAGAGGGTGTATTAAAGTATGAAATGGGATCACTAACTTATGGCAAGCGACAAATTTATATTCAATATCCAATTATAAATAATCTAACTAGTAACCTTCCACATCCTCATCAGGTGTTAGGCAGGTTCGGTTGTCTGAGTTTTCTTCTGGGAACTGAGTGCAATCTGTGTCTTCTGGCCACTGCAGGCCCACAATTCCAAGCACAGATTCACAGCGTTCTTTGGAATGCTCACACAGCGTCCTGGAGGAATGAATTGGAGAGGGTGAGTAAAGACATAGGGTGGAAAAACATGTCATGACAGGTTACCAACTATTGCTGGAAACTAGCACTCCTAGCTGAGGATTTGAAGATGGGGGAGGGGGGGAAGCTGTTAATCTTCCTTATATGACAGAAAACTTTTCTTACATGCATTTAATTTTCCTTAGACTAAAGAAAAATATATTAAAATGTTTCATCACTGCTGATATTTTTGTTAAGAAAATTATGGTAAGCAAACTATTACCTGAGTCATACCATAAAAGTCACAATAGCAATTGTAAAGTTTCTTACAAACACCCTTCACTCAGATGGAAATGACAGAGAAGCCTTTCTTAAAGCAAAAGATACTAAACTCCTTTCTATGCAGAGAGCTCAGGGAAAGATATTCTTCTAGAAGAAATTCTTAAATGAATCAGTGTAACAATACTATCAAGTATCAGAGGGGTAGCCGTGTTAGTCTGAATCTGTAAAAAGCAACAGAGGGTCCTGTGGCACCTTTGAGACTAACAGAAGTATTGGGAGCATAAGCTTTTGTGGGTAAGAACCTCACTTCTTCAGATGCAAGTCTTGTTGTGAGGTTCTTACCCATGAAAGCTTATGCTCCCAATACTTTTGTTAGTCTCAAAGGTGCCACAGGACCCTCTGTTGCTTGTAACAACACTAATGTTTCACAGCTACACTGAGACCATCCTCCTGAAGGATGCCAAAGCACTTCACAAAGAGCGTACATACTGCACCAATGAAATATTGCCTCTTGTGATGTGGAGGGTAGCAGCCATAGCACATTGCATAACAACTAGCAGGGAAAAGAAATTTTTGACCAGGGACACTGGATCATATGCCTTATCTTACAAAGAAGTGCCATAGGAACTTTTAAAGTTCCTAGAGAACAGGCAGGTTCTGGATTTTTAAGGTCTCTTCTCAGAGACCCACTCACAGGCTGTAGTACACTATCTACTGCACAGATGGTTGCAGGGCTGAATCAACCCTGCCTGTATTTGAACCTGTGGTTCCAGGCTGTCTAGGGATTTCAAACCTGGAAAACAAAAGAGCAAAAGACTTCAGTGAATTTTGTAAAATGGTTTGAGACAACGTGACCTAGTTTTGAGGGTGTGGTCACTTTAACCATCAACATTTGTATCAGGCTATAGAGGCAAGAAAATTGTGTTGATTTTGAATATTTATTTTCCATCATAGAAACATAGGAATTGCCATAGCAGATCAAATCAATAGTCCATCTAGACTAGTATCCTGTCTCTCAGAATGGTCAGTACCAAATACTTCAATTGAATGGAAAGAAAACCCATAATTGGAAATTTTGCAATAACTTGTCTATAGGCGAAGCTTCCTCCTAACCACAGGCAATTATTGATTGGCTTATGTCCTGTATCAGGGGCTGATATAGCTATAAAAATTTTATTCTAGCTGAGTAACTGCAGATGATATTCTTATATTCATGGAATGGTCCAGTCTTTTTTTGAATTTTACAAAGGTCTTTGTTCCAATTATATCTTTTTTCAGTGAGTTCCACAGGTTAATTGTGTATTGTGCAAAAAAGGGTTTTATTTTATCAGTTGTACATGTTGCCTTTCAACTTCAGTGAATGTACCCTTAGTTCTTATATTATGAGAAAGTTATTTAACAGGAAGGTCCAATTTACCTTCTCTATATTTTGTGTGCTTCTGTCACATCACCTCTAATTTGCTTCTTCTCTGTACTAAACAGCACTGATCTTTTTAATCTTGGCTCATATATGGAAGTCATTCCATGTTACTAATTATTTTCATGGTCCTTTTCTGGACGACTTCTCCTTCTGCTCTGTCACTTTTGAAAAGGAGTGACCAAAACTTAACATGCTGTTTAAACCAAGGTCATACATACTGTGCCAACAATGCATATACTGACATCATAATATTTTCAGTATTATTCTCAAATTTAATTTGGTTTGGGGGGCGAGTTTAAAAAAAAGAAGGTTTGTTTTTGTTTCTGTGCCTGAACCCTTCATTTAAATAGTAAGAATGAAGTGTGTATGTATTTTAGAGGTGTATGTGTGTACAGTGCATTCTGCAGAGAAAAGTTGCAAAATCAGTTGCCTGTGTGGCAAGAGCTGGAAACTAGAGTGGATAATGGCAGTCATCTTTTGTAAAGGCAAATGGCATCTGCATATTCTTTTTAGTTAGCCACAGAAAACTATTCAGCTATTTTACTTGTGACTGTAACAGGATTCACTTAGAATGAACTCTATTTCTGTGCCCACTTGAAATGAGGCACAGTGTACTATAAAGAGATTCATTTTATAAGAATGGTCTTCAATCAACTTGCTTTGTTATGGCTCAGCAGTAATCTGTTTCCTTTTAGATGTGCCTCTCCTCCAAACAAGCTTACTACTCTGTGTTGATTCAAATCACATTTGAACAGTTGACCTACATTGTTTTTTAGTTTGGCCTCAACATTCTGAATTCCAGAGTTTTCTGCTCTCCTTATTTTCTGATGACAGCCAGAGCCATGAAAACAATAAAGTAGATTTTAAAAGTTTTGGTCTAGTTTACTGAAACATCTGAGTAACTTGTGCCTTCAACATGTCCCTGCTCCTTCAACCTCACCCCTTCAAAAAACCAACCTTCTCTCGGAGGAGACAGTTTCCAATAATTGCCGCAAGACATTCAGTTTTAATTTTGGGGGAATAAGTAAAATGCAGTTAACATGTCAAATAGATGTCTGAAGCCAATAACAGTGCAGATGTTAGCTCTTTGCAATATAGCAAGAAAAAACAGCACATGATTTAGAGGAACAATAATATTGCCTTTTGCTGTTCCAATAAAATGTCTTCCTTCTGGGGTACTGGATGGATTAGAGGCTTGGTAACAGAATACAGAGGCTTTTTTTTACTTCTAGGTCACTAGTTCAAACCTGGTCTTGGTTGTATTGACCAAGGTTGACATTTGCTGGCTATTTGGCAGTGTGTGTGAAATGAACTGGTGGTCTGAATCTTGTTCTTAGTTAATAGGCAACCACAACAAAGTGGAGACAAACTACCACACTAGTTTGGCAGAGCCAACAGAAAGTCCAAGGAAGAAATGGGTAGCAGAGAACAAGGATGATGGTCACTGGCAAAGCAGTGAGGCAGCTCTCTCTATTTTGTATTAAATCAGGGACTTCAGTTTCCAGGATTTTCAATCTAGCACCTTCCATAAATATTAAACTCATTTAAAAGTAAACTGAAATAAAAGTGGTGTAACAAGACCCCAGAGGGCCCTCTTGCAAGAATAAGTAAGGGACCCCCTTCCCAATTCCACCCCCAACACCTCACCCACTGAGCTCCAACACTCCCTACTCACCCCATGCCATAGGAGCTAAATTGGAGTGAGTGGCATTGTGACCCCATTTGCCAGGTGAAGTGTCAGAGCATTGCACCACTTGCACCACTGTAGCTACGCCACTACGAAATATTTCCTTGATCTCTGCAAAATGCCATTAATTCAAATACAGGGGTGACACTGCACAAAATGATGGGAACATCTAAATGACATCAGTCGTGAGGAAATTTAGTCTTCCCAGAAATCTGTTGCTGCCAGCACATTCTTTATGCCACAGACCTGATTGATCAAACAATCAAAATCACTAGAAACTACTTGCAAATAAAAATAATGTAATCTCAAAATCTTGGCAGGGAAGCTCTGAATGTGGAGGGCTTGAAGGATCATGCCCTTTGTCGCTGCAGAAGTGCTATGTACTGTTCAGTTAACAGGACCAGGGCTGATACCACAAATGCCTTATTAAAGGTGAGTCACATTGCACAGAATTTGAAATCATACATGACAGATCAGTAAGTTGCCTCAATAATAGCCATCTTAATTTTCAAAAACTGGTTCAACGTGTTCCCTTTATTATACGTGACCTTCTTCAAAGTCTTCTACACTAAAAATAAAGCATAATGATCAAAATAATAATGAAAAGGTGATAAATTAGGTGCTCTTCATAAAGCAGGGGCATATGTTATATACCTAGAAAACAGAAATAAAATTGCTGATCAGTATTACCTAGAATAGAAAACGGAGCTGAGTATCCCCAATGTCAATAAATCTTATATTCATCAGATGGGTATATGTTATAACAGATGTATGATTACAATGTGAATTTGAAATCCAAGGTTGTAAATTGCACTTGGACTTAGAAAGTTTATCGCAGGGAAAATTACATTAGCTGAATTTTGTTTAATGTTTACAGAAAAAGACAGGTCAAATACAAAGTGTATGCACTATTCAAACCAATTAATCACTGCTATCATTGAACAAGGGTGTGCTTAATTTGTAAAGGCTGAAGCAGATTCTAGGAAAATAGTCTATTCTTAGAATTTTCCAAGGGAAAGTAAATAAATAGTCTGCTTTTTAAGAGCTTCAGACAGCAATTAAATATTTAAAAATACATAATTTATATTTCTGTCTCTTGCATTTACCCAAGTTAAATCACAGTCCACTAGGATGAATCCATTTCTTTATAGCTTCCAAATAATTTTTCTATTTCTATCTATTACTGTGTCCAAAGTTCTTCCTAAATCAGTATAATCTGTGAATCAATCAAATATAACAATTTACTACTTAGTCCATATTTTAATGGCAACACTTAACATTACAAATCCCAATGCTGATCCCTGTGGTAACTTCTCTTGATAAAAATAATTCTGTTTATGATCTAGGATAGGACAGAAAAACTCGAGACCTATATGAAAATAATTCTACTAACATTAGTTTTTTGTAAAGCTGTTTTTTTTAAAACAACTGAAATTTTGTGACTAAAGCTAGTATTATTAAGCCCCTAATTTGCTAGGTAGACAAAGACAATCCCTCCCTGCCCTGAAGAGCAGTCAATCTAATTGTTGTCCCTTTATTTAAAAAAAAAAAACAACAACTATGCAACAATTAATTCTGGCTTTTAAAAACTGGGATGACTTTTAAAGAAAAGGTTTTGGTTATCACACACGTGGACTATGTTTCAGCAGGTCACTTTAATAAGTCTTCCTGATCTGTTAGAGTTCGTCATTTAATTCGGTCTCTATACCATGTGCATTATTCTAACTTTCCAATTACAGTAGATTCCCATGTGGGAATTAAGCATATCAATTAGTGGTGCCTTATGAGTTTTCACTATGAATTATTATTAGCTTCCACTAGAAAATTGACAATGTTTCTTTGCCTAGTGATCAATTTGCCAACTTTAGAGGAATACCTCTAGATAGCCTCCCAGTGTTATAATGTAGGAAACCACAGGATACTGGTGTGCTCAAACAATTTTTACAGTGCGGGTGCTGAGAGCCTGTATATAATGGAAACCACTTCAAGCCAAAGGGTGTGGCAGCATCTCCAGCACTCCTAGTTCCAGCACATATGATAGGACACATACAGTAATTTTCAATACAGTCTTCTTTCAATTGAGACTTTAATATATTGGACCTTAGTGATACTTATTTAATAAGAAAACAGAAAAGTCCTTGCACTGATAGACTAAGAAGCATTTTAGTTTGTACATAAAAAACAATGGGGCAAAACTGGACTATATTTCTACAGTACTTGCTCTCCAATTTTGGAAAAGTGACCATCACATTCAAATATCGTCTTTCATTAGTTAATATTTGCTTTGAATATATAAAGCTTTCCATACGAGCTAAGCACTATTATGAATACTTGTATTTCTAGCTACACTCTTCATTTGCTGTGTGTTTTTATACCCCTACTATTGGTGCAATTCTTATCTAATATCTAACAAAGGATTAGAGCAATAGAATATTTTATAACAGGAGTTCTCAAACTGGGGGTCGGGACCCCTGAAGGGGTTGCGAGGTTATTACGGGGGGGTCGCGAGCTGTCAACCTCCACCCCAAGCCCCGCTTTGCTCCAGCATTTATAATGGTGTTAAATATATTAAAAAGTGTTTTTAATTTATAAGGGGGTCGCACTCGGAGGCTTGCTATGTGAAAGGGATCACCAGTAAAAAAAGTTTGAGAGCCACTGATTTATAAGATTGTATATACATAGTTTAAAATAGAAAACTTAATGGAATTGCTATTCTTTTACCTATGTCATTAAATATTTCAAAAACTTCAAAAAATAATCACACGTACATAAAGAAGTACACTCCTTTCACTTTGCAAAATATGGGCCCAATCCTGATCCTACTGAAGTCAAAAGCAAAACTTCTGCTGATTTCAATGGAAGCAGAGTTAGCCTTTAAGAAAGATACATATGGTGCTGAATGAAACTAGTCAAGAATCCAGTTAGGAAGCAATCACATTACCTGCAGGGTGGGATACGCTGATTCGTTTGAGGGTCACATTTTGGCACCAAGATTGTACAGGCAAAAAACATAAGGTACTTGTAGCAGTTAGTCTGAACCAAGGCTGGAAAAAGGGAAGATTCCCAGCTGATAGAGGCTTCCTTCTGAGTCCTATGGCCCAAGTAGTTTGGGTAGTTAGTATAGTTGTAAGGTAGGTTCATGCAGAGTTCCAGAGTAATTGGTTCACACTGACCTTTTGAAAGAAAAGAACACACATTCTGTAAAACGAGATGAAACCCAAAATAAATAATTACAAGATTCTGATTATTTAAACCGGTTATACTCTCTCTGGCCTCCTAAAGTAGGTCTTGTTTTACATAGCCCAAGGTGGCTTGTGGAGTTTCACCAAGTGACCATTAGCCTCTCTAATCTTTAATATAAAGATGTAGTTTATAATAACTACAGGTCCTTGAGTGCAGTGGTCCATATGAGATTAGTCACGTCAGCAAGGGAAGGAGACTTCGATCTCTACACAGCTAGTCAGTTAATCACAACCTTCATATTTATACTTACCAAGGTCTTTCTGTATCATAACTTTTGGACGCTCATTTATAAAAAGGAACAAATAAACTATTACATGAGCTAATTCTTTTCAGCTAATAACTCTTTAAACATCAAGAGTTTTTATGTAGAACTATCAAAATACAGCAGATTGGAAAGCATTCCATCAACATTCCTCCCACTCCCAAATTAACAAGACTGTTTAACAGAATAAAGAATATTATTTCTATTACACTGTACCCTGAAGCCCCGATCAAGATGGAGTCCCATTGGACTAGGCACTGTACAAACACATAGAAAGAGGCAGTCACTGCCCCCACAAGCTTACAGTTTAAGACAAGCAAATGTAATTAACAAAACAGGAAGATACATGGGGGGAGAACAAGGGTAACAAGTATGCACGGTCATGCAGGCTAGCTATATGTTTAATTAGCAGGTTTTGAGGGGTTTTATAACATAAATAGGGCTGGTCAGAGAATTATAAGTATTTCCCAAGAAAAACTGTTAAAGAAATGGAAAATCTGGACTTTAAAAAAAAATTCATTTTATCAAAAGAAAAGGAAAAATATTTTAAAAATTAAAACAAATAATTCATTTTAATTCAATTTGAGATTAAAGCTTTCATTTAGAATTGAATCAAAATTAACATTTTGTTTCATTTAAATGAATATTTTTTTAAATGAAAATTTTCCAGGAAGAATTTTGTATCATTTGATACCCCATATTTCATTGGAAAAAAGTTTTGATTAGCTCTGTAAACAAACAAGATATGTTAATGATGTTAGTAATCTACGCTGGCCACATGCCTAGCCATTATCAGTTCACAGTTTACTGTAAGTATCATTATATAGGTGAGTCTTGAGGAGAGATTTGAAAGAAGATTCAGTAGTATCTGATAATCTTGTCTGACCTGACAGTTCCTAGTGCAACCTCCTTTAGCAGTCACCTCTCTAATACAAGAAAGACTCAGATGACAGTAGGAATTCCTGAGATCTAGTTTTGGTCTGTGTCGGACCTTGACACACACTGCCTTGACACACTGCCTTCATTCAACTGTGTATGTTGTGCCATGCAATGTAGTGTAGGGAGATCCAATTTTGGAGCATGTTAGGTTGTCCATTATGACCTGACTTGGTTGTGCACTAGCACAAGTCAATAGTATTTCTAAATTCATAAATGCATACAGCTGAAACCATACTTATTGCCCTTGAAGTTAAGTTGTTTTCTAGCTGAATCTAGATGGGAATGAGTGGCAAAAAGTTGTTGGCTCCCATGTGGACACAGAATCCATAGGAATCTTAACAGGGAATTCTCTATTTTGTATTTAAATTATCAACTATAACATGTAGTAGATTTAGGGGTTTTTTTCCTCATCCTCAACTGCAAGTAAAACACGTTTTATGTTTGGAAATTAAAACATAGCTCAGACTTAGAATTGACAGTAATTATGGCATAAAACCATGATGGAAACCTCTCAAGCCACCTTAGTCACATGATGTTAATGTGACAATACTGCCTGAAAATGTAAATATTTATAGCACGTATGGCAAGAATACTGAGAAAGGGTAAGGGGAGGTCAAATTCAATTCCAGATTCTCTTAATAGTGTGTGGTCTGGAATGAGATTATTTTGTGGAGTTGAGACAGATAAAAAGACCTGAAATTGATTTGCTTTGTGCACCTAGACAGCAAACTCTTGATTGCATAGAAGTATTTTTCTTGGGTTCTGAACAGCTTATTCATCTTACTGTTGAGTCTACGTATTTAGTGCTTACTATCATTCATTCCCCTCTAACTGCTTCACAGCTTAACTGATTCTTTGCACTATTGATCAACAGTATAACTGATAGACTCATGGAATAGTATAACAGATGATAGACTCATGACCAGTCACCTCTCACCTGTTGCTCTGTCCACCTCCATCTCTCTTCCATTTCTCACATTCACACATATAATCAGTTCATACACCTCCTCCGCCCCCCACCACATACACACAATCTTCTGCCTTTCTTCTTTGTCTCCAGCAACATCCACCCCAGCCCCCTTCCTTGCTCTCCTGCTGCTGCTTCTGGTATACCCCCTCCATCTATATCTTCACCTCCTGGTCCCTCCATCTCCTGGGTCTCTGAGAAACCTGATTCTTCACTTTCTGGCACTGCCTCTACCACTTCTCTTTCTTACAATGGTTTCTCCTCACACACATACATACACTGAATACACAACTGAATTTCTTCATATTGTTGAAATGTTTGCATTTATTTTCATAGTGTTCCTTTTTTTATGCATTGAAACAACGAGGAGTCTGGTGGCATCTTATTCATAGATTCTAGGACTGGAAGGGACCTCAAGAGGTCATCGAGTCCAGTCCCCTGCCTGCATTAAAGACTAACAGATTTATTTGGGCATAAGCTTTCGTGGGTAAAAAAACCCACTTCTTCAGATGCACGGAGTGAAAATTACAGATGCAGGCATAAATATACTGACACATGAAGAGAAGCGAGATACCTTATAAATGGAGAACCAATGTTAACAAGGCCAATTCAGTCAGGGTGGATGTGGTCCATTCCCCATCATTGATGAGGAGGTGTCAATACCAAAAGAGGGAAAATTGCTTTTATAGTGAGCCAGCCACTCCCAGTCCCTATTCAAGCCCAAATTAATGGTGTTAAATTTGCAAATGAATTGTAGCTCTGCAGTTTCTCTTTGAAGTCTGTTTTTGATGTTTTTTTTGTTGAAGGATGGCTACTTTTGAATCTGTTACTGAATGTCCAGGGAGATTGAAGTGTTCTCCTACTGGCTTTTGTATGTTACCATTCCTGATGTCTGATTTGTGTCCATTTATTCTTTTACGTAGAGACTGTCCGGTTTGGCCAATGTACATGGCAAAGGGCATTGCTGGCACATAGAATCATAGAATATCGGGGTTGGAAGGGACCTCAGGAGATCATCTAGTCAGGGCCGGCTCTAGGCACCAGTAAAGCAAGCAGTTGCTTGGTGCGGCAAATTTGCAGGGGCGCAAGAATCCAGCATGGGAGCTGAGAACCAACAGGGAGCCCTGGGAGCTGTAGTTCCTTGGTTAGCTCCCTGCCTATAGAGCCAGCCCTGGAGCAGGGAAAGAACTACATTTCCCAGTATTCCCTCGGCCGCAATTAACAGGAAAGGGAGGGGGAAGAAGTGTGGAACTGAAACCTCATGCTGCAGCTTGCTGTGAATGGTAGGGACAAAGTCAGCTCTAGGTTTTTTGCCGCCCCCACCCAGCCCTGGGCTCCCCCGCACGCCCATCGTT